ATACAAAACATGATAAACCGAGAAAGAGATCAAGTATCCATGTATATCAAGTCATGATGAATTGCTTTAGTATTTGACAGGCAAGTTTCATTTGCTTTGAAAATCCGGTCAGAGAGGGCACTCACAAAATTAATGTTATCTATGTATTGAGTTATTCAGGCCTAGTACATTACATATAATGTATAACCAAGTAATAAAAATGCTTATGTGGGTTAATTAATGTGGAGGGATTTGGACCCGCGAAATGGATATTCTCTATGGATTGAGTTATGCGGGCCCAATACATTATATATCATATATAACCAAGTAATGAAAATGCTCATGTGGGTTAACTAATGGGAGATATTTGGATATCTCATAGATAATGTGTGCCACTGGGTTATGTTTGAGCAGTAGTACCAGATGAATATGTGCACGCAAACCAAGAAAAGTAAAAACCCAAGTAACATTCCTAAGGGGTATGCTAAGCACATACTATCTAGTGAGAGCTTTCCCTAAATAAAATTAAATAAAAGCTGATTAGTTAGACGCACACACTACCTTTGCATCACACTATAGGAGCTAGGCACACTTTCGTTGTTATCTCTGTGTTGATATTGTTTTGGTTATCTGCTTTTATCTGTTCTATATTCTGAATTTGTAAGATGCATGTTCTTTTCATGAAAGCAAGTAAAGTGATATAGTTATATAGTCTTTCTTATGCTTAAACTAGTCATGAATTCATAATGCATGTTACATGTGCACAATCCATCCTCCATTTTACCACTTGCTAGATGAGTTTGTGACCTTCCTCGTCTGCACACCAATGGTAAAACCAGGCCTTCCACTCCTACTTTCAGGCACACCAGAATCTAGTAATCTTCATTAGATGGAGTTTCTATCAATGACTATCCATTTATTTAGTTCTGTTTTGGCCATTTTATTAAACCTTTTTGTTTATGTTAATATATCCACTGCTATATAGTGACTCTGATATATGTGATAGTTGTAGTAGTTATTTCAGACTTATGAGGGTTATTTCAGACTTATGAGGCCATGTGTTCTGGCTTTTATATATCTAAATTTATGACAGTAATATCTTGTGATATCTTTTATGTTATTCATTATCTGTGGAACTTGTTGATACTTGTTGAGTATCTTGATTCCATTGTGTATTTATATTGAATACTTGCTTATGTCATATCTCAGTTTTCTTGTATTTGATTTTATATGTGATTTTGTTTATGTATAGTGAATGAGGTTTATGTACTGATCATTGTTATTGGCTTATCTCAGTTTTCTTATATTTGCTTTTATGTGTAACTCTATGATTCTGTTCCGTGTATGGTGAATGAGGCATATGTACTAGTCATTGTTATAGGTTGCACTATATACTTTTAGGTAGTGCTTAGCATTGTATATGCTACCTAGCTCCTAGCTAGTAGTCTTAAACCTCAATTAACTCTATATTGAATACGCTGTACAAAACCAATCACATGAATGTAAAAATAGAGTTTGTAATGTAAAACAAAATCAATTAAGCGCACAAGAAAGATATTACAATCTTTTATTTATCAAACTGTGCTCCTTGATGATATAAGTGTACCTCTAGAAGATGGGAAGACACGATCCAAGAGCAATATTCCTCAATAGTTGTAGATCCGATGATGAAGAATGCGACGAGAAAGTGATTTGAACAACTTCTAAATGATTTTGATAAGGTTTCTTCTTCAAATCACAAAGCCTAGCGCCCCCCCCCCCCTTCCCCCACACCTCTCTCTCTGTATCTCATCAGGTCCAAAGAATTAATTCTATAAAATGAGAGGAGAGAAAGTATATATTAGTTGCATCGAACGACTGAGATTAAAATCCAAAATCTGAAAAGTCACTCCAGTATCATCAATGAGCGGGAAGCCTCATCAATGAGCGACACGGCTCATCGATGACTAAAAACTCTATAATTTTTTCTTCATCAACGGTAAGTTGGAATTGATGACTATACCATCAGGCTCATCGATGAGGCTAGGGCTCATCCATGACCCAAAAAAATCTGTAAAATTTCTTTCACCTATGACAAATTAGAATCGATGCTTGCAGCCTTGCTTATCGATGAGCAAAGTTACTCATCGATCAATGGTTATGCTGAAACTCGTCTTTCAGTTGAACTTCACTCCTTTTCGCCTCAAACTCGATTCTAACTTGTGGAAACCTGTACAGATCATCTCAAACGCAAAATTACGCTCAAATCAACGTTTGTTATTATTCAAATAAAAGAAATTGTATGGACATGGTCCTAACGAAATTGTATTCTTCTCCCATTTAAAACAAGTTTTAATAGACAATATTTTTTCGTTAATATTAGTTAGCATATGTTTTGAAACCTAAATGTCCTTTTGAGATTGTTTTGATAACATAAGAAATTCTATTTACAATCATGAAGTATTGAAGATTACAGTTTCTCTTCCATGATCATTCTTTTTTTTTCCTTTCTTTCTTTTTTTTTTCCTTTCCTTTCATTTTTCCTCTTTTTTTATGGTAAAGCACTTCATTTCATTTAAGATAACACAGAAAGATCATAAAATACATCGTCTTGCAAGTAGAGAGGAATATTGTCACTCCAACTTGTCAGCAGCAGCCCATGTGAAGCAATTATTTTTGACTTTGGATAAAGGAGCGGGCCCCATTTCATTATTATAACATAAATG